ACTCAGGTCTTTACATGTACAAAGTAGGCACTCTATTGCTTGACCCACACACCTCCAGTCCATTTTGCTCTGGTTATTCTGGAGATAGGGTCTCAAGAACTATTTGCCTAGGCTGACCTCGAACTGATTCCTCCTGACATCAGCCTCCCATGTGGCTAGGATTACAGAGATGAGCCACCAACACCAAGCCCAGTACAGGGGTTTGAGCTCAGGGCCTCGTGCTTGCTAGGCAGGCGCTCTGCTACTTGAGCCACTCTGCCAGCCCAATTCTGAATATTTCTCCTAAATCAAATAACATATGTTGAATATTATGTTTGATTTCTTGCATGAATAGACTTAATATCACTGAATTATGTACTTTAAAATGGAAAAAATGACTTATGTTATAGTGTTCATATTTTACCACAAAAATTACTTAAATAATTAAGCATTTGCTGAGCTCTTACCATGTACCTTTTTGGTACCAAATAGTGCAGTGCAATAACTTCATCTCTTTCTCTTGAGGTTAGGTCTTCACAGATTTTACCACCTAGCAGGTGGAGAAACTGAGGCTGAGAGAAATGTATCACACAATTTCAGATGATCAGCCAGGCTCAGACAGCAGGTCAGTGTAACCCCATCAGTCTTGTGTCCTTAAAATTCTTACACTGGGATCCAGCAACTGGGAACAACCAAGCTGAGAAACAGGACTTAGAACTGGAGAAAGCCAGAAACAAAGAATAGAGAGAGGAAAAGAAGGAAAATTATGAAAGTGAGCAAAAAGAGAGGAACCTGGGGGAAAAAAGAAAAGAGATCAGGAAGAGGTGAAGGCTGGGGGCGGGGGTCTCAGTGATACAGCACTTGCCTAGCATTCATGAGGCCCAGGATTCAATATAAGCAGAAGGAAGGAAGCGGGGGAATGAAAGAGAGTTCTGATTAAAGCACGATATTTTCATGTCTGAAATAACCAAGGTGAAACTCCCTTGAACCATCAATACACACTTTAAAAAATGAAGGACTGTCAAGCGCCGGTGTCTCATGCCTATAATCCTAGCTATTTGTATTTGTGTAGGAAAATAGAACAATGAAACCTGTTGAAATTGTTCTAAGAAGGAGTGAGGGAGAATAACGGAGGAGTGAATCTAATATACATTGTAAGCACATATGTAAATGTCACAATATATCCTCTCCTGTGCAACTATGAAGGAAGGGAGGGATAGAGAGAAAGAGAGGAACGGAGGGAGGGAGGAAAGGAGAGAGGGAGAGAGAGAAAGAGAGAAAGAAAGAAAGAGAGAGAGACAGAGAAAGAAAGAAAGAAAGAAAGAAAGAAAGAAAGAAAGAAAGAAAGGGCGAGCCAGGCACTAGTGGCTCATGCCTGTAATCCTAGCTACTCAGGAGGCAGAGATCTCAGTTCAAAGCCAGCCCGGGAGAATAGTTCATAAGACCCTATCTCAAAAAAAAACCATCACAAAGAAAGGGCTGGTGGAGTGACTCAGGTGTAGGTCCTAAGTTCAAGCCCCAGCACCATAAAAAAAAGAGAGTGAAAGCAAAAAAAAGAAGGAGGAGAGAAAGAGGAAGAAGGAAAAGGAGAAAGTGGAAAAGGAGGGAGGGAGGGAGGGAAATGAGAGAGGATCCAGGGAGAAGATGGAAAGGAAGTGGGAGACATGAGGTGTAGAAGGTTGGTGGCTAACGAAGTCAACTTTCCAAGAGCTACTGTGGCTCTAACTGCTGGACAAACACTGTTCCTTTTCTTTTCTTTTTTTTTTTTTTTTTTTTTTTGCCGTTTTCTGCTTGGCGCTGGGGATGAGCCCAGGACCTTGTGCATGCCAGGCAAGCGCTCAGCACACAAGTTCTCCTTTAATCCCCACATCAGCCAGTTAGGCAGGGAGCATTTTATCAGCTCCCAGGTAGAGAGGGACACTGGGACACCTGGTAAGGCAACACAGGGGGCAGAAGCTATCTGTTTGGTCCTGGAGTCCACATTCCATCTTAAGTGGCTTCAGAAAGACATAGAGAAAAGCTATTGAGAGACAGGATGGTCTACAGCCATACCACCCTTCACACGCCCGATCTCGTCTGATCTCGGAAGCTAAGCAGGGTCGGGCCTGGTTAGTACTTGGATGGGAGAGACAGGATGGATCCACACCCCAGGGTCCCCTTGATCTCTCACCCGGTCTGTTCCTCCAGGGAAAAAAAATGAAAAACAAAACAGTGATCCAGACTTTAAATGATTTTTAATTGATTTTAACATGTGGATGACAAGGGAAGGGGGAATTAGAATGTCTGTGAGTGGGAAAGGAGAGGACACAGAAGATGACACCTAACGAGCGAAGTCCTGTCCTCTTCCTTCCGTCCTCATTTGTGTTGTCACCCAGCCTTGTGGCTTTAGCAAGTAGGAAGTCTGCCATCCCCCCATGGGGACCTCAACTGGCCCAGGAAATGGAACTTGGAACATTACAATGGAGATCCAGCTCTTCATTCTGTCCATCCCTTACAGACGTCTGCATGACTCCAGCATCAGGGTCTCTTGAAGTAAGACCTGTGGACCTGTGACCTGGAAGCCCTGAGCCTCTAGAACATTCCATCCATCCTTCAAGGACTTCCCAATCTCAACATCAAGCTTGCTTTGAATATTTTTCGAAAGATACGATGTCACCAATGAGTGGGGAACTCCATTCATTCCTGCCAGAGTCCCCAGCCTCTAGCACAGCCAGGAAATGTCTGCAGAATGAGAAACTAACACTGGATTTTGGTCCCCACTTTTGCAGACTCAGGACCCAAGGCTGTCTTTTCCCTGTCCTTGCCCTGTGTGTTTTGTCTGGATTCCCCCAGCCTTAACCCCAACACCTATTTTCTTCCTGTCACACTTTGTGTCCCACACTGGACTCAGTCACTCCTAGGTTTCATGTCTCAGAGCCCAACATGACTCAAGTCCATGAGAGCTGGACCAATTGCATGTTAACTAAAACCTTTCTGAGGATCCTGGGGGGAGGGACCCAGGCTGAATGCATCTCTCCTGGCCAGGAGTCAGAAAAGTGACCTGATTCCTCCCAGCCTCTCTTCCCTCCTGACCTTGGGGGGCTCAAAGTCTCATGAGCATACAGTGTGCGCACATCTCTGCCCAGTTTCAAGTTCAGTGACTCAGGAAGATAGCTTGAAATCAACCATGATGGAAGTATTTACACCACCAAAATTGACAGGCGCTGCAAATGGAGCTTTTCCACTTCCCCAGGAGATCTGGTTGTTAACCATCTATCAACCACTACCTTCCTGCCCCACTTCTTCCCCATCTTGCCTTGCAAGACCCACTCTTTGAAGGGTGCTTGGCTCCTGCCTCCCTCATCCAAAACTAAAAAGAGACCTCACCTTTAAGGCAGCAGGGACCAGAGCACAAAACTTCTAAGCTCAATTTTCCCGTACCACAGTCAAAACTGAAAATAACCTAAGAGAAGAGAGGTATCCTCAAAATAGAGGAAATGCATTTACACCCTGTATTTACAGGTGAGTCTGCCTGGCTCTTGTCATTAAGAAATGACCACAGCTATGGTTGGGGCCACCCATGTAATTACCCCAATTCCACCAATGTTTGGGTGAAAAATCCCTTTAGAAAAATCCCAAAGTGCCCAGTTCTGGTGGCTCATGCCTGTAATCCTAGCTACTCAGGAGGCAGAGATCAGGAGGATTGCAGTTTGAAGCCAGCCCAGGGAAATAGTTCAAGAGATCCTATCTCAAAAACAAAACCATCACAAAAAAGGCTGGTGGAGTGACTCAAGGTGTAGGCCCTGAGTTCAAACCCTAGTACCACAAAAGAAAAATTAAAGTAAAGCTGGTCACGGTGGTGCATGCCTGTAATCCAAGCACTTAGGAGGCTGAGGCAGGAGAATAGAGAGCTGGAGCCCAGCCTGAGCCTCCTGAAACAAAAGGAAAAAAAAATACAGATCAAACAAGAAACCTATCTTCCATTCCTCCATCAAATATACCCCCATTCCCAAAGTGATGATGAGTCAAGGAATGACCAAATGCCTTTAAAAAGAAACTAAGAAGAAATAATTATAGATAGATAGATATCACATATATTAATGTGTATCAAACAATCCTCTAAACTACCATGTAAGCATGACATTTGTGAGGTGTGTAAAAATTCCAAGTTACTTCTTTTTTCATTTCTTACTTATTTTTTTTTTTGGTGATACTGAGGTTTGAACTCAGAACCTGATGCTTACTAGGCCTGGTCCCCAACCCCTTTTGCTTTAGTTATTTTTTATGTAGAGTCTCAAGTTTTTGCCCAGAAAGCCAAACTTGGATTAGGGTCCTCCCACCTATGCCTCCCATGTAGCTGGGATGACAGGCACAAGCTACCACACGAGATCTTTATTGGTTGAAATAAGATCTCCTTAGCTTTTTTCCCCAGGCTGGCGTGGAACCTCAGTCCTCCAGATCTCCATCTCCAGAGTAGCTGGGATTACAGGTATGTGCCACCACACCTGATTCCATGTTACTTTTCTAATGTAACTGTATAATTGGCCTAAGATTTCCTAATGGAACCTCTAGAAAGAGAGGTTCTTTGGAATTTCTAGAAGGATCCTAGCCATATGCTACAAAAGCATCCACATGGAGAATGAAGGAATGGAGCCTCCCTCCTTGTTAGCTCAAGGCAAGTGACTTAAACATTATCCTCAGGTCAACACCAATATTGGTTTGCTTTCTCCTAGGGGCAAATTCTCAGCACCAGTTTCTGAAGTCTAGGACTAAGCATCTAATATGCCAGTCACAATCCTAAGAGATGGTGACAGGCCCAGGAGAATTCCTGAGACATGATGCTCTGCTCCAGGGGAGGAGAGAGAAAGGGGTGGATTGTAGAGCTAAGCTGCACCTGAAGCCAAAGTGGCCACAGTCTTTGGTGGGATCGCTACTTCCTTTCACTCTCCCAGGTCTGCTGTCCCAGCATCTGAGTTGTGAGGAGACAGACTGAGATGAGACAGGGTACCGAGGAGGTTGGACAGATTGAGGGAGAGTCACTTCTACAAGATCTGAAACTTCCAGGCACTCTGATCCTTGTAGTCCAGAGGGTCCATGGGATTGTAGGTGAATTTCCAGGTGCCTGTGGGATCCTTGAATTCCAAGCTGTCCACGGGGCTGTAGGCGCCATAGCTCTGGCCTGACAGAGAGGTGGGAGACTGGGCCAGGGCGGGCCCCACAGATGGGCCCGAGAGGGGACTGAGAGCAGGACCTCCCAACTGGGGCACCATGGGAGACAGGTAGGGATCCAGCCCACTGAAATAGGAGCTTGAAGACCCATAGGCTGAGGGAGAAGAGCAGAAAGCAGAGGCTGGGGCGTAGGTCATGGCATAGGGGGCAGAGGTTAGGGAGGGCCCCGAGGCCACTAGCCCAGCCCGCTGGGCCTCAGGCAAAGGGGACTCTGAGGCCGGACTCCAGATAGACACAGTGGCCACCGCAGTGGTAGGGGAGCCTGAGGGACCTGGAAGAGGGGGGCTGTAGGAGTCTAAGATGCCCAGAGGCTCAGGACAGACATCCGTGGCAGGCCGCGGGGATGTGCCCACCTTCCTCTTGGCTGGGCGAGCCTTGGCCTGGCCCCCTGGGGGCTGCTGCTGCTGCTTCTGCTGCTGTCGTTGCTGTCTGCACTTGGCCCTGCGGTTTTTGAACCAAACCTATAGGGGAGAGGGAAGGTCAGGGTGGGTAAACGAATGGCGAGACTCTGGGGAGAGGTGCTAGGGTCACATGTCTCCATATTGCAATGGGGCATCTGTTCATCCAATGACTGCAGGTCTCCACTCAATCATGCATGTGTGTGTGTGCATATGTCACACCTACATACACTCGTCCATCCACCTGATCATGCACACGTATGTACTCACACATGAATCATACTCACATATCATACGTGCATAGGATCATACAAGCATACATATATACCTCTATCCATTTGATCATCCACTCATCCATCCTTGCAATTGCATATACACACATCCGTGCACACACTCACACTTGCATTCACGTCCATCCAATCGTGTGGGTGCACACACACAGTCATACACACGTGCACCAACCATGAATGCACACACTCAGCAACATGCACACACTCAAACAGGCATTCATCCAGCAACTGTGTATACATACATATATATGCATCCAGCAAGCCTATGGGCACTCATCGATCCTTCTGTGTGTGTGTGTGTGTGTTGTGATGAGTTTTCAAGATAGGATCTCTCAAACTATTTGCCTTGGCTGGCTTTGAACCTCAATCCTCCTGATCTCTGCCTTCTGAGTAGCTGGGATTACAGGCATGAGCCACCAGCTCTGGGCTTCATCTATCCTTCTATTCATACATGCATACAGTCATCTAGCCACCTATCCGAATAGTTCATGCATATGTACATATCTGATCATTCAAGAGCTAGGGATGTAATTCCGTGATAGAGCACTTATCTGGCATGCACAAGGCCCTGGGTTTGATCCCTAGCACCACAAGCACACACACACACACACACACACACACACACACTTCTCTCTGTCCACCCATGCCTTCAAACAGCTGATAAACATCCTTTAGAAATCTTGTACTACTTTAGGGTTACATCAATTCATTCTGCTTGGGTGAGGAATATTACAAATAACCTTAAGTCAGTAAATCATATACTATTTTAGAAAATGAGAGATACTATGTAAGAAAATTTGAGAAGGAGAAAGAGAAACAGTAGCCTTGGGGTGCAGGGAAAGATTATAATTTAAAATGTTATGGTCAATGTGGGTGTCTTTGACTGATGAAGTCATTTGACGATTAGCAAATTTGAACAAGGTGATAAAGCCAGTCCTGTGACTATGTGGGAAATAAGCATTGGTGGTATAAGAACAGAACGTGCAAAGGTCCTGAGGCAGGAGTATATTTGGCAGGCCCTGGAGTGAGCAGTGGTCAGAGTGGGAAGAGGGGAGGTGGATGACATAATAGGAGTGAGGGATGCTTTGGCTAATTTGTGCTCTCTCCTCCCTCCACTGTGGGTCTGAGGAGGAAACACAGAAGGTCACAGGGAAGGTCAGCAGGGCCCGGGGTTCAGAGCATCCCACCTGCACCCTGGACTCAGGCAAGTTGATCTTGAGCGCCACCTCCTCACGGGCGTACACATCTGGGTACTGGGTCTTGGCAAACAGCGCCTCTAGCTCCTCCAGCTGACTGCGGGTGAAGGTGGTCCGTTCCCGCCGCTGCTTTCTGGGGGCGCCTGTGCCAGAACAAAGGACACTCAGGTATCTCAGTCTGCTGGTGTCAGGCCCTGGGGCTAGGTGGGACATCCTTTCTTGGTGTCTATTTGCCTAAACAAAGGGTGACACCTACTCCCTGCCCTTCTGCACCTTGCAGTGTCCCCTTGGAAAGTGGGGGGTCCACTTTGTAATTCATGCCTCACATGGAGGGGACTGGCATTAGCCCCATAAGAACAAATGTATTCATCCCTCTTCTAAAATTTCCCTTCCTTCTTTTCTTACTTTCCTTAAACTCACATTGCTCCACATCCCAAGTACTGGGATTACAGGCCTGTACTACCAAGCCTGGCCACCTTCCTAAATTTCTTGGAATGTCCATATGTCCTACTTCTCTGAGGGACATATAGCAGTGTTTTGCACTTGTGTGCAATGTGTTGGAGACAAACACATTGAGCAGGTGTTTTGGCCCCAGACTCATCCCCCACCAAAAGTGCCTTCCTCCTGAGAGAAAAGGACCCCAGAGGTTCCCAAGAGATGATGGCCAGCCTGAGAAGGCAGGTGGACAGTCCACACTCACTTGGGTAGGGAACAGCCTGGTGCATCAGGTCCACACTGGGGCCACTCAGGGCCAAGGCATTGACCGAATAGTGGGGCCCCGGGTTCATATACGCCATCATGATCTTCAGAGATGCTGGGGCCCAGGAGAGGGGCTGCAAGACAAGGGGGTGTCACACAGTCACCAGCTGTTTGTTGCATGGTGACAACAGGTCTCTTATTTGGGTTTTTGGTTTGGTTTGAGTTTCAGTTTTGGTTTTTGAGACAGGGTCTCACTACATAACCTAGGCTGACCTGGAACTCATGACCTTCCTGCCTCAGTCCCCCAAGTGCTGGGATTACAGGTGTGTACAACCACACCAGGCGTAGGATCTCTCCTTTGAAATGTGACCTTGGCCATTTATCTCACCTCCCTGTGCCTCACCATCCTCATCTGTGCAATGCATAAAGCTGTCTGAGTTTCACTGAGAGTGTGGGAGGCCGAGATCTGACGCCATCATGAACTCATAACCGGAAGTTCTTATTCCTGCTCCAGTCTTCCAAAAATTTGATCCTGCTAGGCACCCCTTCTCCAAAAATTTTTCCTTTGGTGACCACAGCCTTGTGAATAAATGGAGAACAAAGATGACCAATAATTCTAGATTGCTCCGGGACAGAGGAGTGTCTTGAGATTTGGGACTTTCAGTGCAAAAAAATCCAAAGCAGTCCCAAACTGGGAATGGCTGGTTACTAATGGAAGACCAAATTAAAATAAGAAGCCAGGCACCACAGCTCACACCTGTAATCCCAGCTGTGTGGGAAACTGAGATGTATAGAATTGAGGTTAGAGGCCAGCCTGGGAAAAAGGTTCTCAAGTCCCCATCTCAACAAATAAGCGCTGTCATCCCAGGAACACAGGAAAAATAACCAAAGCAAAAAGAGTTGGGGTGTGGCTTAAGTGGTAGTGAGCCTGCTTTGGAATGGAAAGGACCTGAGTTCAAATCCCAGTACCACCAAAAAAAAACAGGGTGGAGCGTGGCTCAGCGGTAGAGAAACAACCCTTGGGTTCCAGCCCCAGCACTGCAAAAAAGAAAAAAGAAAGAAATACTCGATGAATGATAACCTTCTATGATCATTTTTGATCCAAAAATCAAAGTGGCAAAGATGGAAGAGGCTGCTAACACACGTTGGCCTCGGTGCGGAGAAGCGGGCACTCTGGCAGGTCTGTGACAATCAGCACAGATTGGAGCCAACTAGACTCAGCTATCAAAATTAAAATGCCAGGTCCTTTGTTCCAGAAACTTGCCTTGGTTGGTACCTCAGTCAAAATGGAAATGACACTAGCATTTTGTTGGTTTGCTTGGGGGGTTTGGTGGTGATGGTGGTTATTTGTTTGGTTTGGTTTGATTTGGCTTGGTTTTGAGAAGAGAGTCATGCTATGGAGTCCGGGGTACCTCAAAGTCTTGATGCTCCTATGGCTTCCTGAGTGCTGGGATTGCAAGTGTGCACCACCATGCCCAGCTAATAATAATAATAATAATGGGTTTTTGTGTGGTTTTTTGTTGTTTTTGTTCTGTGGTGCTGGGGTTTGTACTCTGATCCTACACCATGAGCCACTCCACCAGCCCTTTTTTGTGATGGGTTTTTTCAAGATAGGGTCTTACAAACTATTATCCCGGGCTGGCTTTGAACCGTTATCCTCCTGATCTCTGTCTCCTGAGTAGCTAGGATTACAGGTGTGAGCTCCCAGAGCCCAGCTAGTGCTTTCTTTTGTTTTGTTTGGAGGGACTGGGGTTTGAACTCAGGACTTCACACTTGCACAGCAGACACTCTATCCTTTGAGAGTCCATTTTGCTCTGATTATTTCAGAGATGTCTTGCAAACTATTTGCCTAGGCTGTCCTCAAACCTCAATCCTCCTCATCTCAGCCCCCCAAGTAGCTAAGATTACAGGTGTGAGCTACTAGTGCTTGGCTCATAAGGTGCTCTAAATAGCTATTGGTGACTGTTGGGTTTTGCCCAGGCTGGCCTTGAACTCTGGAGGTCAAGTGATCCTCCTGCCTCAGCCTCCCGAGTCCCAGGATCACAGGCGCGCTCCATCATCCACCAGCTGGCTCCAGAATTTATAACGCAGCATGTTTAATTGTGCAACATGAGGTGAGAGAATTCATTGCATTCCCACCCGTGCCTGTGATGGACTTAGACCCCTTTCACCCCTCTCGCTCTTCCTTATCCCCTTCCTCCCTCCCCACTTTTTCATCTTTCTTGCAGTTTTCAGTGGGTTTTATTGTGACCTTTCCAGACTTGCATACAAGGTATTACAATCATATACTCCCAGTCCTCGCCCTCTCTCCCCCTCACACCTTGTGCTAGGACCCTCCCCAAGCTTTCCCCCATTTATAGTCATGTCCATTTAGATTCTGCAACATCGCATATGTTCCACCAAAATGTGAAAGCAGCCACCAAAGGGGCTGTGTCAGCTAAATTATGCAACTTCAGTAAATTATGGTAAGTTATGATACATCATGAAAAGAATAATATGAAGTCATTAAAAAGTATAAAGTGCCTCCCTATGGGTAGATCTTAAAAGATCTCTAATAAAGAGCTAGGAATTTGCCGGAAATGGTAGCACACACCTGTAATCCCAGGACTCTGGAGGCTGAGGCAGGAGGATAGAGAGTTTGAGGGCAGCCAGGGCCACAGAGACAGACCCCATCTAAAAAAAAAAAAAATAGAGAGACAGAGATTATGCTAGGCTTGACCTAAGAGAGAGGGACAGCAAATCATTTCCAAGTCTGTCATGACCACCCAGAGACTCCTTCATTTTCCAGAGTACTGTATCTTCATTTTGTATGCTACTTATTACTTTTTTTGGCAGCACTGGGGCTTGAACTCAGGGCCTCATGCTTGCTAGGCAGGCACTCTACCACTTGAGCCACAGCTCAGCTCTTAAATCTTTGACTTCTGCTTGCTACTTATGTATCTGATAATCACACTTTGAAATGGGTGTGTGCTTGTGTTACATAACATATGTGGCCAAGCTACATATGTACAGCACCTAGAATAGGCTTGTTACATTTATTTATCATTATAAATTATTATGTAATGTATTATTTACTATAAATGTTATGCACTTATATTATGCACTGTATTTTATAATAAGTGTTTTGTATGCATACAAGTAGGTTTATTTGTAAATAAGCACATGGAGATGTGTATAGGTTATAAATACGATATGTTTTAGACAATAAATATAAATGGCATAATGTTTATATTCAAAAGATAAAAGTGTGGCTCTGAGCACGATGTCTGGCAACATGCTGCCATTTGTGATTTCTTTCTTTCTTTTTTTTTCTTTGGTGGGACTGGGGTCTGAACTCAGGGCTTCGCACTTAAAGGCAGGTGCTCTACTGTTTGAGCCACACCTCCAGTCCATTTTGCTCTGGTTTTTTTGGACATGGGGTCTCAGGAACTATTTGTCCCTACTAGTCTCAGACTTTGATCCTCCTTATCTCAGTCTCTCAAGTGGCTGGAATTACAGGCGTGAGCCACTGGACCCCAGCTTCACCTGTAATTTTTAAGACATGGCAGTGATACATACACTTATACAGACACGCACTGCATGGCAATGTCTCAATCAATGACTGGCTGAGTATACCACCATATATACCAGGCGAGACATGTCGCAGGCTATACCCTCAGGCTGCTGTAAGTATGCTCACTGATGTTCAAACAATGCCAGCATCACGTAATGATGCTTGCTTCTTGGAGTTTATCCTGTGAGCTTACCCTGTTTTCAAGGGACTGATGATATACACATAAAAAGATACACTGCTACAAGATACTGTAGCAATGGCCACCCCTGGGGAGATGTGTGCTGGACACAGACCTTGTATCACAGTGAGGAATACTTTGTAACTGTGTGTGTGTATTACCTTTCCAAAAAGAACAATGAAATCTACAACAGCAAGCAAAAAGTCTGGAGAGCTCCCCACAAGCCCTATTTTTGTGTTAGGTATTTTCGAGAAAGGGTCTCAATGAACTATTTGCCTGAGGTGGCTTCAAGCAGTGATCTTCCTTATCTCTTCCTCCTGAGTAGCTGGCATTATAGGCGGCAGCCACAGGCACCTGGCTCCTCATTTGTTTTTTCAGATAGGTCTCACAATTTTGCCCTGGCTGGTCTTGAGCTGGTGATCCTCCTGTCTCCACCTCGTGAGTAATGAGGTAAATGTAGCATTATTAAATATTATACTTACATGTTTATTTACCTGTCTGTCTCCACCAGGCCTATCAACTACCTGAGTTCAGGTCCCAGAGTAGCGCCAGTCCCTGCAGTATCCCCAAAACCCCTAATAAATATTTGAGAAATATGGAAATGGATTTAAAAATGGATGACATTTGTTTTAGCCTCCACCTTCTTCTTTCCTGTCACTGCCCTGTGTTTCCCATCCCTCATCTGGAAGAGGGGGGCTATTTATAGTAAACTGAGGCTCTACTCTACCCAGAAAATATTTTTGAGCCACACATACCCTGCTCTAAGAGGAAGGGATGGAACAAGAAATAAGACACACAGGGAGCCGGGCATGGTGGTGCATGGCTGTAATCCCACACTCAGGAAGGTCAGACAAGAGGATTGTGAGTTCCAGATCAGCATGGACTACATAGCACAAAAAGGTCTGGCACTGATGGCTCACATCTGTAATCCCAGATATTTGGGAAGCAGAGATCAGGAGGATCACGGTTCGAAGCCAGCCTGGGCAAATAGTTTGTGAGACCCTCTCTCGAAAAAAAACCTAACACAAAAAGGGCTGGTAGAGTGGCTCAAGGTAAAGGATTTAAGTTCAAGCCCCAATACCGTAAAAAAAAAAAAAGAAAGAAACCAAGAGGAAAATAAATAGAAAAGTTCATTGTGATAGGAACAGAGTTGGGAAGTTGGAAGTTGGTAGGGATGGGGGGCCCCCAGGTAACTTGAATAAGATCTGGGGGTACAGGCTTTCAGGCAGAGAGAACAGAAGGTGCAAAGGCCCAGGGACTAGAATCACTGATTTGGTTTTTTGTTTGTTTTGTTTTTTGTTAGTTGGGGTTTTGTTGTTGTTGTTGGTTTTGTTTTTTTGGGGTTTTTTTGGTGCTGCTGCTGTTGGGTTTGAACT